TTCCAATAAAATGACATTTCCTAGAACCAAAGTAGTGTGAATTGGAACAATTGGAGATTCCCCTGACTGCTCTGCCAGGGGTCCACCAGAAGCTAACAAGGTTATACAAAGGCTGCTAAATTTCTCATCCTCTCAGGCAAGTACCTGTTGTCTCACTTGATATTGTAAAATGCTTTGAGATTTATGGATGAAAACACTATTGTTATTGTTCCCATTAGAAAACCCAGGAAGCAAAATGAAAATGGTGATGACAACATTGGAAAGATGAAGAGGTAGCACACTGTCACACCTTTGAGTGTGCCCCTATGTAAGCCACAGACCTAGGCGCAGAGGTGTGGAGAGCTCAATACTTATTGAGTCTAGACAGTATTTATTAAGACTTAGGCCAGAGGACCTGTGAGAACAATGCGGCAGTATGGGTCAGCATGGTAGGCAGTGCCCTCAATGCACCAGCAGTCTAACCATTGTCAAATTTTTGTAGGCTTCATGGCAGAGGAGAGTTTTAAGGAGCAATTTGAAGGAAGATAATGAGTTCGTTTTGCAGAGGTTTATGGGGAGCTCCTCCCAAGTGTGAAGGCAGTATGGGAAAAGCATGACCGTGCTTGTTTGAAAATTTACCAAGTGGGCAATGGAGGCTGGTTGACATCTTGATAGTGAATGACAAGGTTAGGTGGGAGGGGATGGTGATGGGGATTGGTTGTCAGAGGTCTTGAAAGTGAAGACAAGTATCTTCTTATGTTTGCTGTGGCCAATTTTTTTTTTAAAGTAGTCAGTGACTGGAGGGATTCAAAGAAAGGTGTGAAATTGTCAAATCAGCAGGGAACTTCTAAAGGTGTGGGTGCTGGCTCAACTGTATCCCGAGCCTCTGCCGACCACAGGCTCAATATTGCTCTCAATTAAATCAATGAGAATTTAATTATTGTTCCAGAAAGCAAGATATAAAGATCTGAAGACAGTAGACAGACATTCTGCAACCCTTTGGACTATATGAGCCTATTTAATAATTCTTATTATATTATATTGTGGCAGTGCCCAGAGACTCCAGTCAATATGATGGTCCCATTGACAGGGATCCAGCCCCGAAAAGCTTACAGTCCAAGAAGAAATGACAATGAATGGGTGGGGTGCGGGAAAAGGAATACCATCAAAAATGGATACAATGTGTACATATATTCTCTCTCTATATATGCAAATATTAGCTCAACTGCCTCCCAACTTAGTCACAGTAAGCTGGTGTTTGTAAAGTTTTGTAGTGATCCCAGCAGAAGTGGGTGTTGATAGATGAAAGGGCAGTTGCCTCAGTTACGGCTTTTGCCTAATGACTGAGACTACAACACAAATTATTCAACACCGCGTTCCTCTGGCAGCTTCCGTCTGGTGATCTCAAAGCATTTTACACATAACATCCTATGCAATCAAATTGTTTTACCCTGAAACTGCCCATGGCTCTCTCACATTAAGCTGTTTGGTTTAGTGTTGGGATCCATTATATTATCCTGACCTTTCCATCTGATTTCCAGTATTTTGCTTCTTTTCTTTTGCAATCCTAACCCAGTTCTCTCCATTAGACCCTGGTGCAATAGATCTTCCAGTTTGTACCTTCCATTCTCTCCCCAGAGCCTCTGCTTTCTCTTTACCCTCCATCTTCATTGTGGCCCAGGTTCTGCCACCTTTGCTCACCCTAGCGCCTTACTCCGAGTTCCCCACGCACTCTGCCAATACCCCTGGGTGCTTGGCAGGAGAGGGGTGAATTGTGTCCCTGCACCTTTTAGACTCTGACAGTCTTGCAGGTCAAGTCCCGCCTCCCAGGGAACTCCATTGGTTCCTGTGGCCGTTTTGTTTCTCTTTTTGGCGAGTCTCTTGACCTAGGCGCCTCGTGATTGGGCGAAGAACTCCGGCCCAGAGATCCTCTGTAAATACCAATTCTAGGCCCAGACGAATAGGCCATTCCTTCCACCTCGCGGGAAGTTGAGTCCTCTCTGGCTTACATGGGCTCGTCGAGCCGCAGGAGACCCCACCCGGAGGGAAAGGGGGTGCCAGCGGAAGGGGGACTGGCTAGTTGACATGGGTAGGGTTGCGGTCCCTTATGGTGTGGCTCTTTCGCGACGCTCCCCGGGCCTGCAGCCGGTGGAAGCGGTGGGGCCGGAGCGGCGGCTGGGGGATGGCCCGGCTGGGTTCCCGCGGGTGAGCAGCGCCTGGCAGCAGCAGGTAACGGGGGAGCGCGGCCGGGACCCCGAGCCCGGGCGGCAGAAGGGGCTCCCCGTCGCCTGGCCGGCCCCGCCGAGAGAGGGAGCCCCGCGGCCGGCTGCCCGCCCGCGCCGGGCCCGGTGCCGACCCGGGAGGAGGGTTTCCCTGGGGCCAGCTCCGTGAAAGGGGGAGCCCTGCCCGGGAGCTTGTGGGGCTGCAGGCTGGCACCGAACGAGGCTGCTGCGGGTCTCTGCCAGGCAGGCAGCCGTGGGGGGGCGGGCCCCGCTGGTGTCCGAGGGGCCCTGTTTGGACGCGGCTTGTTTCCGTGTAACTCGTTCTAGGCGAGGCCTCGCGGGGAAATAAGGAAGGGGCGAGTCGCGGCGGAGCTGGTCATTTCGGTTCCGGGTGCTGTGTAGCCAGGGCCCTGGGGACACCCTGGGCTTCAAAATCTTTTCTTAAACGGAGGTCTCGAGCCTGGCTGGTCAGTGGGGGGCTGATAACAATATTCAGCTTCGTTAAGGGCTGTTAGGACTGTGGATAATTGTTCTCCATGTCCAGTGGAGGTAGGGCAAGAAGCAATGGGCTTGATCTGCAGGAAGGGAGATTTAGGCTAGATCCTAGAAAAAACTCTCTAGCTATAAGGGTAGTTAAGCTTTGGAATAGGCTTTGGAGGGAGGTTGTGGAATCCAGGTCATTGCAGGTGTTTTAAGAACAGGTTGGACAAACTCCTGTCAGGTTTCCTTTGTCCTGCCTCAGTGCAGGGCCCTGGACTTGATGACTTCTCAAGGTCCATTTCAGCCCTGCATTAGTGTGATTCATATCCTGTCTTTTCAAGCCTTCCTGTGAGGAGGTACCCGCTAATATGAGAGCGATGAGCTTCTTAGGGGTTGGCTACATGCAGAAGTTGCATCTGTTTTTACAATCACTTTTAAAAACTAAAATAATTGTTGCAAACCCCCGTGTGGACACACCTGTATCAGTTAAAAACAATACATAGGTTTAGTTTGTGCCTATATATTTACTAATACAAGCTAAATTGATATAATCCAGGTTTAAACTGACACAAGGGTGTCCATACAAGGGTTTTTACGGGTTTAACTACATTGCTTTAAAACAAACCTTTATAGCGAGGTAACTTAGGGTGTGTTTGGATAGTTTTAACATACTAGCGTGAAGCCTAGGACTCATCCTGATCAGCTAACACATGTTAAAACTATAATTTGCTCTGGCTACATTAGGATTTTAATGTAATGTATTACAGTTTAACAATACACCGTTTTTCCTGGTCTAGACAGGTTCTTTGTGTGTAGGCAGGTTTCAATGGGAAATACCTGTTCAGTCTGTTTATTCTGGGGATGTGTGTATGTTGGGGAGGTTGTTGCTGGTCTCAGGAGTTCTAAAGAAGACGAGAAATACTCTCTCTTTTTGCTAGTTGTGTTTTTTGAATGTACACTGGGTTTCATAAACCAGTAACTTATAGCAGCACCTGCCTGAGTGCTGCTGACACTGGGAGCTTTCAGTGTTGTTTTTGAGAAACACTGAAATTGACTGCAAACCTCTTCCATGAGGAGTGAGTATTTCAAAATGGAAATCAAGCAAATCTCCTGGGCAGATGGAAGGCAGTGGCAGCTTGGCCTAGCTGTTGTTGGGAAGCATGAAAAGCTAACGGCATCGTGTGTGAATTATAGCCATCATTGGGAGCCTTTATGTTAGCCTGCATATTGAGGATCTATATGTACAAATCCTATTCTTTTAAAAGCCTTTACTAAGAGGGAGTGCAGCTTTACTGTATTAAGTGGGAGAAGTTTGGGAGAATTCTTTATGATGATTATTAAACCCCTATTTGAAAATCTTTGGCATATCCCTGTGTTCCCAAACAAAGCTATTGTTATGACTGTAAACAGGATTTGACAATGATCTCTAACTGGCCTTCAGACTTGGTCTCTTAACTTGGGAACAAGTTTTACTTACAATTTAAATTTTAGGCCAGATTTTTCAAACTTGGGTGCCTCAAGTTCGATGTCTCTTTAGACACCTCATAGGTGGCCTGATTTTCAAACTCTTTTGGGAGTGGTGGGTACTCAGTGCCTCAGAAAGTTAGGCTACTTGTTTAGGTGCCTAAGTATGGAATTAGCTGTTTAACACGAGGCATACACATTTTAAAATGTTGGCCTGGGTTTCTTTCTTAATGGTAAGGCTTTGATCCTACAGTGGGGCTCCATGCACACCCAGGACTCTGTTCACTCAGAACTCATTGCAGGCTCAGGACCAAACTTAAGATTTCTCAAAAAATTCTTTTGGATTTTGATACTGTTTTTAGGTTATTTTGAAGGCAATTGATGTGTTGGCCTTTAAATCTGCCAAGGGTGGACAAGCAGTCTTTCTTATTGAAGCTTTTTATTGTGGTACTTAATATGATCACTCCACAATGCCGTTTGCAATGTAGTTGAGCTCCAGGTAATCCATTGTGAACGGAAACTAAATTCTAAATATTCTATAACATATGATCAACTAAAAAATACTCATCGCTAACATGGAGCAAGATATATGTGTGTGGTAATAAGGATGGGATACCCAGGAAAGAGAAATTGTTGAAACAGATGGCAGTGGTAACACTTGTGTGTGAGAGAATGTTGCATCTATTGTTAACCCTCACATACATCAGAAAACACTAGCTTTTAAAAACTAGATTGTTTTCTAAACCAGTGGTTTTCAACCTTTTTTCATTTGCAGACCCCTAAAAAATTTCAAATGGAGGTGAGGATCCCTTTGGAAATCTTAGATGTAATTAGGGGTCTGCAGATCACAGGCTGAAAACCACTGTTCTAAACCAAGTCTGCTCTGGCATAGTCAAGTGAGCTCAAATGGCAGAATGCTAAGACCTTTCATCTCCAGTGTACGTAATATTTTGCAATTCTCTAGGTGTCTCTCATCAAAAGATCCTGAAGTACCTTACAGAATGTAATGAATTTAACCTTACAGCCCTATTGGAGAGGCAGATGAGGAATACCCCATTTTACAGATGGGGAAGCTGAAACATAGAGAGGCTAAATGCTTTACCTGAGTTGTCCAAGTGTTTGCATGACAGAACTGAGACTATAACCTGAGGTCCTATTCTCTTATGTGGTACGGTTCAGAACTTGCAGCTGAAGGGTGGGGGTGACTAAGACAGCTATAAGTTGTGCTCCAGGCCACCAGCATAACACAGGCATAGGGGCCTGAGTTACCTAGCCTTCTGGGGCTGCAGTGCTTTTTGGGACTAAGGGGGGTTGGTAAGGTGGCCCTTTGGAGGCATCCTTACTGTCTGCACTGGGGCAATTTTCTTGTGGCTGGAACCAGGGTTTCTAGGGCCCATTTATTCTACTCTGGTACCTCTGATGCGTGATGTAAAGAGGCTGGAATGGGGGTGAGGCTCTCCGGAGTCCTTCATTTGCTTTAAGCAGGTGGTCATCCTACCTTCCCTCCTCTCCTACATGGGGTATGTTGACTCTGTTTACTGCGAGTTTCTTTGCTACTCCTCTCACCCCTCCACGAGAAGGCAACACTACCTTCCTGTCTGCTGTGGTAAGCTAAGGGATATTTATGAAGGACTCTGCTCATAACCTATGCTTCATTATATTGTGGGTTTGGGTCACTGTTGAGGCTTCTGCTAATTATTTTTTTAGCATTGTGGTTTTCATTTCTTTCTTTTTAAAACTTGCTTCAAATTCTGATGTGAAATTGAAACTGGGAGGGGAGAGGGGAATTAAGTAAACATATTTCTGCCACTGGGTGGAAAAACCCATCTTGTGAGCTTGTCCCGTGGACAAAATGAGGATGCAGGAATTTTGAAGCAAACATTGATATGGTGACTCTTGAAAAGCTGTGTTTCAACCTTCCTCCCTCCACCCCCAATTCACCCCCCCCTTATTTTCACTTTTAAAGACATTGCAATAACAGTTGCTTTTAAACGTGGTGTTTGTTAGCACAGTTTTCTATGATCAGGGCTGCTTGTATGTGGAAAAGGCCGCTTATCGTGCCATGTAATGGATAAACAGGGGTTTCTAACATGGTTCTCAGAAAGGAAGAAAAATATTCTTTCCTCACCAGTCTGGGAAACCAAGCTACAACTCTGCTAGCTGTGTAATTCAGCTGTAGAGGAGATGGGCCTTGAGAGATCAGACTACTGTCCAGTAATTTCAGCCACAAACTTCATCTATCTTTGAAATTGTTAGAATGTCCTAATTCAAAATAAAATAAAATTTAAAAAAATCCACCTTTTTTTAGTGAGGGGGGCAAAAATACCCACCATTTTTATGTCACACCAACAATAACATGAGTGATCCGTGCTTACTCCGTGACTAGGGCTTCCAGGCCTAGATCAATAATAATGGTAAGATCTAATAGCCAGGCATACGTTCCTGTTGCTGTTGTCCCTTGTGAGTCCAGGGCTTGCTGGGCAGAGAAATTGATGCAGTTTAGGTCAGAATGGCTTCAGCTCTGTCCAAAATATGGGGAAGGAAGGGTGTGAACTGATTTGCTGTCTGACAAAGAAACATTTCCTGTAGGAGAAAGAAGAGGGACCTGGACTATAGCACAATTTTTTTTCTTTTACCTGGGTATAATATGATTTTTGCCTCATCTACACAGCCTGGGCCAACCTAGGTCAGCCTCAACAGAGTTTAACAGCTGTGCAGCATGGTGGTGTTGGCAGTGTAGAAGGTCCTAATGAAACATCTCTCTCAATACATACAGCTGATTGTATTTCAGACTAGACTGGACAAAGCCCTGGGGAATATGCTGTTAAGGCGCAGTCCTGTGGTGGATGATGGAGCTAAGACAATGTAGCCTAGAAACTGTTCCTGCTCCCATTGAAGTCAGTGGCAAAAATGCCCGGTGCTTCAATGAGAGCAGAGCAAATTCACTATACTGATGTTCCTTACTATAACCCCTAACCACTATAAACAGTGCCACTTAGCCTGGCTTGTTCCTCAGTGCTAGATGTCTTATTACTTTGCTTTTATATTGAGCGTCTTTGGAAGAAAAATAGGACAACTAGCATTTGCCCAGAACTAGTAGCCTGGTTGAGAGGCAGGCTCAGTATTGACTTGCCCTTCAAGGCTTTGTGACTGTAGGTCTTAGATCTGGCCAGCCCGGCTCTGCTTATCACCACTGTGTTGTATTTGCATGATACCGGTGATTTTTAAGGAGAGGATCTGGCGTCTCTGGGATGCCCTCTACAAGAAAGATGTTTGTTCTTTCCTATTTAACTCCCAGACAGACTGATTTCTACCCAGGCTCTTTCTGCTTGGGGAAGGCAGGTCAGATGCTGTGTCCCAGAGTGGATGTCATTGGGGTGTCATGGTTCACAGTTGTTTTCATGACTCTCTCTCCCATCCCTGCACTCATGGTGCTGTTTCTCCTCCCTTCCGCATACTATTTAAAAAAAAAAAGTTAGGCAGAATCTCTGCTATGCGGGTAAGCATGACGGTATCCACCTTTTCCTACCCAATTCCTGCCCTTCCTAGAGTGAAGAGGTCTGTCACATGTGTTAGGCTAGACGGATAGAGCAGAGTAATTAGAGAAAATGCCTGCTCCAGTGACTGGTCTACGCTGATTAGGAATTGTGGGAAGTGGAGAAAGTGAAATGTACCTCTTGGGGGAGGAGAAGGTGTCTCCATAATCCGAAGGTCACTCATTGGAACTTCTGCCAAACTAGGATTTCTGGCACAGAAATTGCCACCTCAGCACAAAGTTAATCTTCCCAAGAGTGTGTTTATTTAATGTTATGTACCTAAGGCAGTGAAACATACAGTGATCATTAAAGAAATCCCCAACCCAACAAGTACCTGTTAGAATGTAGGGATGAAAAGTGGGTCTGTTAGCAGAGAGCTCCCCCACTTGCCTTGCCTTGTAAGCCCTGGAAAGGATCCCAGTTTTCCAGAAGAAAGAACAGCTCTGTGTATGAAAGTTTCAGGCAGAACCCTGGAAGGGTAAACCCTAAATGCTAAAGGTTCAGCAGATGACACAGAGCTGTGCCTCTCCTCCTCCCATCTGTGAAAGTGTCCATCTGCTGACTCCTGCTGCCAGTATGTGGCAAAAAACCCTACCTTCCTAAATCCACTCATCCTGTCTGCTCACTTTCACAGTGCTGGCTGTAGTTTGAAGCCACACGAAGGGGAATTTTGTTGAGATTAATCCTGGATTAGCTCTACAGCAAACTGGCTGCCAAAGCTTTATCTGTACGTCTACACTGCAAAAAAACCCACCCCAACCCCAATAACCCTGCGATGGCAAGTCTCTGAGCCTGGGCCAACTGATTCGTGCTCATGTTCCAGGGTTAAAAATAGCAGTGTAGACATTCCTGGTTTGGGCTGGAGCCCAGATTCTGAGACCTTCCTCCCCTGAGAACTTTCAGAGCCCGGGCTGCAGCCTGAGTCTACACTGCTATTTTTAGCCCAAGAGTGTGAGACCCACGAACCTGAGTCAGTTGAACCAGTGTCTGAGACTGGCTACTGTGAGTGGTGGGTTTTTTTCAGTGGACGTACCCTACCAGTGACATGTCTGCGCCCACCACCCAGGGACATGTGGCGTTGTGATGACAGTAGGCAGGCACTGTGCTCTGCGATGGCTCTGCTGGGGAGAGCTGGGTTCTAGAGAGAACAGGACTTTGCAGTTGTATTGCATCTTGTGTCTGTGAACTGTAAAGCACATTGCAAGGGTCGGGTTCTCATTCACATGGGGAAACTGCTGTGTAGAGAGGGGATTGGCTCAAGGTCATGCATCACTTCAGCTGCTGGACTAGTGACGCAATCCAGGTCACCCGTCTCCCAGTCTGCTTTAATCCCATGACACATTATGTCCCATGAAGCATAGCATGATGCTGCCTTCCAGGCTGCGTTTCTCTGGTGGTGGTCTATATATAATTTGCATGTCTGTTTGTAAGTACTATGTGCATGAGCCCAGTTAGGACTGTGGTATGGTTGAGTTCTTAGAAGAAATCATGGAGCCAGTTTCTGCAACCCCACTGAAGTCAGTGGCCAGGACTTGGGATTTCATGGATGTGAGTGCAGAATTTGGCCCAATAACATATGAATGACAACTAATAACCCAGCAGGAGCAGCCCCTGGTACCGGAGATAGGTCAGGCATATAGGCAAGGAGAGTGTGAGTATGCATTCAGGGAGGGCAGGTCATATGATAACTGCCCACTCCCCTGCTGAAACCAATCTCATCTTCCTTCAAACTGCTAGGGAGAGGGGGTGTGGTACAATGGACAGAAGAGGTAACTGTGACCCTGGGCTCCAGGGTTCTACACTTGGCTGTCCCCCAATGTGACATTGGAGAAGTCATTGAATAACTGTTCTTCAGTTTCTATATTTATAAATTAGGGACAGTGATAGTAATCTATATCCAAGAAGCGGTGAGGGGTTTAGTTTGTTGATGACTGCTTGGAGATCCTTGGATGAAAAGGGCTGATGTTGGTAGTTTGCGGTAGTGCGTAGGATTCAGTTACCTAGGATCTAATGTCAGGGACGCTCTTTGCTGATCTTCCTGCTCAGTTGATTTAAGGTTGCTTTTTGCCTTCATCTTGGTTGTTCTGTGTTGTATCATGCTTGGTCTTAGCACCCATTGTGTGTGACTCTAACTCTCTGTCCCATGTCCAGAGCAGAGGCAGGATGTCCCAGTCCGTGACGTCTGTGGTGAGGTTCTCCACGTATGACAATATCACCCACTCTGTTACCAATGCCCTGGTTATGGCCTCAGATAATGTGACAGCTCTGCCCCAAACAACAACATGGGCAATCAACGACACCAACATCACTGTGCCACACAAGTGCCTGCTCCTGCTATATGAAGACATCGGGAAGTCCAGGTGAGGTATAGGAGCTTGTCCAGGAAATGATGGCTTTCCCTCTCAAGTGTGGGAGCAGGGGAAAGTGAGGCTGGCGCCTGTCTCTCGGGGGGGGGGCGGGAGGGGGAATCATGCAAATGCACTTTTAACTATTTTATTTTACTTTTTGCAGAGTTCGCTATTGGGACCTTATGCTTCTGGTTCCCAATGTGCTTTTCTTTGTCTTTCTTCTCTGGAAACTGCCCTCTGCCAGGGCCAAGATCCATGTCACCTCCAGCCCCATCTTTACTACCTTCTACATACTAGTGAGTACCAGCACTGCTCTCTGAATTGATTGGGGAGTGTTAAAGTGGTGTGTGTGGTTTTTTGTTTTTTGTCTGCCCTCACCCGCCTTCCCAGAACATTTATCGTTCGGGGAGAACCTGAGTCAGATCCCTTGGAGGTAAAGCCCTTTGGCTCCTGCATAAACATACAGGTTTTCTTTTTAAATTAAGATTCACTGTTAGAAATGGGCACAGAGCTTCAGAGTTTGGATCCAGATCAGGATTCCACTTCTGTGAGACTTGGGGGACGTTTGGATCTGGGATTTTGGGTTGGGTCTTTCTCTACCATTAAGTGACTCGTTTTTAATCTAGTACAATTTTTTTTACTTCACCTTACTATCTAGTATCTTATATCTTCCCTACTCATTGCCTCTCTTACCATATGTCACATTTAAAACAACACTAACTTTTCACTGAGATATAGTGGAAGTGAATCCCCTGAAAAATGAAATGCATGAAGCTGCCAGAAAGAGACTGCACATTAGTTAACCCTCTATAGAAAATCCTGATGTGATGTGTTCCAGCTGAGCTCCTGAAACCTAGAGATCCCCAGCCTGGGAATTCCTCTCTGAGGCAGCGGGAAAGGGGCTGCTTGTTCCAGTTGCATGGCCCAGCTTTGGTTTTGAGAGCGTTCTTATGGATTCTTGGTGATGTGAGGTTGGAGGGTGAAAACAGAACATGTGGATGAGAACAGTCCTAGTTCTCAAATATGTAGGATCTTCTTTCCCGTTCCACAGTTTAAAAAGTCACATGCAGCCGCTAATCAGGATAGGAAAGTCTCTGTAGTAGCTATTGTTGCTGTCAGCCGTGCTGCCATTGGTGCATGGTGTAAGTGCAGCTAGGGACCTGGCTGGATTAAGTGTGTGGATGAGATTCATGAAGCTACTATCACGGGTGTGCAGTAAGGCCCCTGCCTGCCTCAAAGCAGCATGCATATGTCTGTTGTCTGTCAGTGGGAGTAATGCGGCAGCAGTACAGTGCCCTGCTGGACAAAGTTCACCTTGGTAGAGAGAAATGCTTGTTTATACATGAGCAAGAGAAGAGGTGTCTTTCCTCAAACTAGGAATGAGTAGTAACAGACAAAAACCAGGAAGTGTGAAAAACTGAGGCCAAGATAATAGCAAACCTAGTCTCAATCTGTAATTGGAAGTTCTGAGCTGTGGAAAGGGGGTACAGTCAAGTAATGCAGGCCCAGAATGTCAGGGAGCGGCCGGTGGTGGTGGTGGTAGGAAATCTTAGAACAATCTAATAATTAGAAAAATGTTCAGGAATTTTTAAAAGCATTATCAATAGTTTAAAACTTGGATTTAAACCTTTCCCAGTGCAACTGGCTCAGCAGGGAGCAAGTGCCATGGAACAGAAAAGTGCAACTGACCAGAAACTGAAGGAAAGAAACAAAAGTGAAACTTGTCTAGACTGTTGGCTTTGGGAGGAGCAAAAAGGAACCCAGCAGCAGAGACAGTGAAAAGCATATCTCCATTTTATAATCTCGGGTATACTGGTAGGAAAAAGAGGCTATAAAATGTTTCCTTTGAAATCAAGATTTGTAAATTGACAGTGTCCCTTCAGACAACTCTCTTTGTCTGGTTTCTAAAAAGCGAATGAAGGTTCTCCTCTCTCAGGGCATGGTGCAGCCTGTTGGACTGGTGACAGGCTAAAGACAGCCTACATCTCCTCTTGCCTCGTCTCAAAACCCACCTGAAGAGTCACATTAGTACGATTTACTGCTTCCTCACTGAGCTGATGCAGTTTCTTCATTGTTAAAAATAAGTATGGGCTTTGAAGATAGGCCGGTCTTTTGCCCCTTAGAGCAGTAGCAAAGAAGATCCAGTTCCCATAAAGGGGAGGAAAATATGGCTGCTAAACTGGTGCCATGGAGCATTCAAAGATTTTACTTCTCAGAGCAACTTTTCCCGAAACCTTGCACTCCAATGAGTAGCAACACTGCCTTCTCTCCTGGGGTTGCACTCCTCCCCACACCTCACTGCAAGGGTGTCCTTCAGAGCACCCACTGGGGATGTTAAGCTGGAATGCTCAGGAAGGTGCTATGAAGATCTGTAGTAGGTGGTACGCTTCAAAACACCTGTGCAGTATGCTTTATGATATAGTCCCCCCGGCTCACCGTCACTGTGGAAAGGCCAGTACAGCTTGTGAGCTGGTTAATCAGATTTGACCTTTCCCCCTATTGGGATAGGTTTAGCCACTTCATATCCCTAGAAGATTAGCATAATTTAGCCCACAACGCTGGCAACTCTTCTTGGAAAGACTTGTTTTCAGAAACTTGAAAGCCCTTGGCCTCAGCTGATTTCCCATCTTCTGCATTCTTGAGGGCTGCCAGTGTTTAATGAATGGACTGTGGAGCTCTGCTTTATAACAGATCTGAGGTCTGTTAGCTGATATCCTGTGGTATCTGTTATCTGGTGAGCTCTGTATACTGAGTCACACTAGGCCCTTGCCCTCATCATTGGGAGTGGTATTTTTGCTGATTGACTCTTTACCTGGGCTGAGGTGGTGGGAATGGGAAAAAAAGAATTAGCTTCTTGGACCCTGGAGAGCCCCCTCTCCCCCTCCCCCCCCCCAAGACTGGAAGAGGCTCCTTTCACTGGTTGCTGAGGGAAATTATGCGTTCATTCCTTCACAGGGTCTAAGCCTGCTGCCTATGCAATACTCACACCAACTACGCCTGGGGAGAGGGAGACTAGCCCCTGGACTCTATCTTGGATCTCTGACTTGGAAGTCCCCGAGTATTAACTGTTAGGCTTCCAAGCTAAGGTGGAAACTGGTTCCTAGAGCAGAATTCCTGATTATTATCTTGGGCAATGTGCAGCATATGGGCACTAGCTCACCTTTGCTTTCTTTTCCTAGGTGTTTGTGGTGGCTTTAGTTGGGATTGCTCGTGCTGTTGTCTCCATGACAGTCAGTGCCTCTGATGCCGCCACAGTTGCCGATAAGGTGAGTACAGCACTGACCCTGGACACTTCTGCATTGCACAGTTATGGCCCTTGTGATTAGCAGCTTCCTGTTTACATGCATACTGGAAGAATATTTTTATCTGCAACGTTCGTGGCGTGTGGATACTGTGGAGTCTCATTTTGATAACCATATCCGAAGGATCACAGCATCCAGATCTGTGAAACAATGAACTTCCTAAATAACACATCAATAGTAGCGAAATCTCCATCTTGCAAGGAGAGAATGAATCAGCGAGGCATCTTGATGCTAAGCCAGGTCCTCCTACAATTGTCTAATGACTGGCAACACCCAGACTTTAATGTCCCTGGCTGCAGCCTTGTGAAAAATGTCGGGTACTTTCCTGTGTGCTGAGAACAAACAACATTGAAGTCCATTGTGACCCTAATAACTGAATGTTTCTGGATCAAGCAAAGGGCAAACAGGAAATGTGTTTGTAAAGTAAATTTTGTTCTAGAGAGGTAAATGATTACCACAAGAGGACATCCCCTAAATCAAGTGCTCTGTAGCTCTTGTGTTGTTGGAGGCAGAAGTCCAACCTAGAAAATGTAGCCTTCTCTAGTCAGAGTTCCCTGGGTGCCCTTGTAGTTTCTAGGTTCCCTTTCTCCCTGATGTTCCTTGTGGCAGATCACTTCTTTTTAACACCCTGCTTGTCGTGAGTGGCTAATTAGATCACAGTAATCTTTTTCCTGAGCCTCTGCTGCATGCATCAGGGTCTGAACATTAAATAAGGGATGAGATTTCATGAGAGTAACTGTCTGTGCCTCTGTTCAGCTCTCTGCTGTTTGTGGTGCTAGGAAATCATGGAGGGACATAGATATCCTGTCCTGTACTCCCTACAGGGGATGTGCTGTTACGTGGCTTTGCAAGATGGGGTGCTATAACAGGAGGTGCATCTTTTTTTAATTAGGAATTGCTGTTGTGGGACTGGTTTCCGAAGTCTATGAGTATCTTCCCCACGGGATATACTGGCTACTCCTGAAACTCCTGGGTCCTAATCCCAGATATGCCGCTGCTTCACTGTAGGGGAAATCATTTCATCTCTCTGTGTCTTGGTTTCCCTGTCTGTGAAATGGAAATAATAATTACCGGCCCCTTAGGGAGCTTTAAGGGTTTATTATACTTTGAGATCCCTGGATAGGCAGCACCAGAGGAGGGCACTAGAATTTTTGCCAGCCATAGATTTGCTGCAGAATAGCCCCAGTTTCTAAGGTGATGAAGACACATGTTGTTTGGGTTGGCAGTGATTGGGAATGCAGCAGAGATGACACCCCCTGCCCCAGAGGGAGGGCTTTAACTATGCTGAAGTGGGGCCACTTTCTCAGTCCTACAGATGGTGTATCATTCATTCCCACTCAGTCCTGTGCTGGGTGGGCAGTGTGTGCACTGCTGGGCCTTGTGGCAAGGGGTATAATTGGGGGGATTAGTTAATTTTTGGCACCTTCCTCTGCAAAGGGTGAGGAAGGTATATGGCAGGGGTGGCCAAACTGCAGCTTGTAAGCCATTTGTGGCTCTCTTATAGTTACAGTGCGGCTTGCAGAGCCCCACATTCTCCACCTACCAGACTGGGGTGCGGGGGAGAGGTCAGGGCTTCTGCCCTGAAGTGGGGTGGTGGCGCTAGGGGCTTCTGCCTCATGGGGAGAGGGTCTAGGGGCTTCAGCCCCATGGGGAGGGGATCTAAGGGCTTCAGCCCTGCTCTCGCTGAAGCCCCGAGCACTGGCAGGCACCTCCCAGGGGGTGAAGTCCTGAGCCCCACCACCCTGCCGCAGGGCAGAAGCCCTGAGCAGGTGCGCTCAGCTCTCATAGTTCTGAAGATTATCATGTGCGGCTCGGAGGATCAGTAAGTTTGGCCACCCCTGGTATATGGGAATGATCAGCTCCATCTGAAGAGTGTCTTCCCCCAGGGCAAGGGGGTGGAGTATCGCTGTATAAACTTCCCCTTGGCTCCTGGCCCTTCTGACCCTGGTCTTTGTTGTCTCTTAGATCCTGTGGGAGATCACGAGATTCTTCCTCCTGGCCATTGAGCTGAGTGTGGTGATCCTAGGCCTTGCCTTCGGTAGGTGCCAGAAGGCTTCCTGCTTTCTAATACTCCGGATGTGTCTCCTCCCTCCTGTGAGGTGGTGTGTACAGCCTGGCCTCTGCCTACAGGGGAGCGGGGAGGGGTAATCCTGTGAAGCGAGGCATCACTAGAATAAAGATGGGAGACAAGTAAGACTCTCGTTATTGGAAATGACCTGAAGTGTCATTTGTGCCATTTCCTGTGTGACTCATGCAGTTGCCAGGACAGCACACGAGTGTCGGAGTCACACATGCGCTTGTGGTGATGGTGCATGCAAATTGGGGGAAGGAGAGGATGCTGGTGCACAAGCGGACGTCTGAAAATGTCCCCTCCAGCATGCAAATTCTTCCCACAGGCTTCTGAAAGTCATTACTATATTTGCTTTAACTCCACTGTCTTTGGGTGGGAGATTCCTCCGGGGCCCTTTTAACCACCTCCTTTTGCTGCCTCTTCCCTGGCATGGGCAGGATGAACCCTCCTCTGCAGCTTGTCAGAGGTGCTTTCATTCGAGCCCAGGGAGATGCTCCTTAGCGTTGAGTAGTCCTCAGGTGCATGTATTCGCTCATAGATGAGCACTGTCATGCTCATCACTGCAGTATCTAAACACTGGATCTCCCACCCCGGAGGGCTCACAACCTCGATGCAGGTTCTCCCAGATGAGGGTGGCCCTGACTTGACTCCTCCTTTAGCTGTTCTGTGAAGAGAAAAGTTTCCAGCAGTTCTGTGTAGATAACATTGCTGCTTACTCTGACTTGTAACCGTACTGGAAGTTGCTTTTCTGGGGTGGGAAGGAAGCGGAGTCAGTGTCCTGTTTTATAGATATGACGTGCTGAGCCCTGTGAAAGGCTTAAGCAGTCTGGGCAGTAATACAGCTGCTGTGCGTTAAATGAGCTGTAATCCTCCTACTGGGGGTGCAGGTGAACAAGGGCTTTCTAGTGTGACAGCAGCTCCTGGAGACAGCTGATGTAGTGAGGGTGACTGAAGTATGATCTCTCCTTGCTCTTTTCAGGTCATCTCGAGAGCAATTCCAGTGTCAAGCGTGTACTGGTGATCACCACAGTGTTGTCACTGGCTTACTCTGTTACCCAGGTGAGCACACTGGGGCCTGCAGGCTAGTGCTAGCGAAGGAGAGCACGCTGTTTGATGTTGAGCAGTGTTTGCCTGGGAAGAACTGGCCAGCTGTGTGGAGAAAGGGGCCTGTTGCTTTGGAATCTGGGGAGGAAAGAAGCGTAGCTACGAGTAATCTCCATTCTGCAAGACTGGAGCCTTTCCCCTCTAGTGCAGTGGACTGAAAGCAACCCAAGTCAAGGGGACTGGCTGGCTCAGTGGTGGGTCAGGGAATCAGATACCAGGTTAAGGTGGGGACTGGCTGGTTGAAGGGATTGAGGAGTGGTGCTGGAGCTTTTCACATCTAGGGAATTACTTCCAAATCCAGTCTTTGGTTCCATCCTAACTCGAAGGAGAAATGGGACATGCTTATTGAACTAGAGCTGTCCAGTGGGCCCTCATAGCCTCAACTCTCCTGCCTCTTCCTGAGCTGAGAGCTGCCACTTCCCATCACGTTACCACTTGGTATATTAGCAGTGTCTCGCTCTCTCTGAACAATGTGCTGTGTGTCTGGGCATATTCTCATCTTCACTAGTGGCAGCACCAGAGTAACAGGGCAGTCATTGTTCAGTGTTCGGACTCTCACGTACAGAGGCAGTGAGCTGATTGTTACCACATGATACGCTGGAAGAGCCTCATTAAATACCAAGTGGCTGAGCTGTATCTGGATTCAGTAACTCCCTCTTTCTCTTCATTGTCTGTGCAATCAGATTTCTGTCTAGCCTGCTTTCAGATGGGCTCCAGGTATATGAGACTGGGTCTCCTTTCCCAGCTGTGCACAAGTGCAAGGGTTTTACAGATTGGATCTTACAATAGGAAGTGTCAGTTCTGGAGTAGGGAATATGGCACTTGCCATTCCCGGTTAGACCAGTGGTCCTTTGAATCCAGTCTCCTGCTTCCCATCCGTTCTGTCTTCTGGGACATCCCAGGAGCTGTTCTCCTCCAGACCCAAGCACTGTGGCTGGTCCCCTGGCTTGCTTGCTCCCCAGGCCCCAGAGGAGAAGTCTCTCCCATTGCAATAACATGCGATTGCACATACATTCAGATGGCTGCTTATCTATTGCTAAACAGACACCTACCCTTGCCACTTCCTCCCCCCTCCTTCTGCTCTGTTGGAGTCCTGTGGCTCCCCAGCTTCTTACCACATCTCATCCACTGTCTTCCTAGATGAGGCTGAATTGCCTTGGGGCGGGGAAGAATGTCTGAGCAATGCAAGGTGCAGGGTTCAGTGGAGCAGTTGTCTGAGCATGTGTAAATGCAAATATACTTTGTCTGGTGTCCTGTGGTGGTGTGTGTGTGGGAGATAGAGGGGTCTTTAATGCCTTTCTCTCTGTTAGGGGACACTGGAGATCCTCTACCCTGATGCTCACCTCTCAGCGGAAGACTTCAACATCTATGGCCATGGAGGAAGGCACTTCTGGCTCGCCAGCTCCTGTTTCTTCTTTCTGGTAAGGACAAAGCATGTTCTGACCCTCCCTGAGACACATGGGAAGACAGCTTGGAGAGGTATCAAATTGATACCTCTTCTCTGGTAAGTGTATCTATTATCTCTGCTTACCTAGCTGCTTGATGGCTTCTAAACAGCATAGTGAGACTTGGGTCCAAGTAGTCAAATGCAAAACCACAGGCACTAGACAGCTCCCAGCTCCCCAAAGGGACCTGTTTATTCTCTTGTAACTCCCTGTGTGCAGTGCTGGAACTGGGAACACCTGGGACTTGATGCCTCTCAAAGGGGTAGGGAGGGCAGATAAAGATTGGGTAGGAGGGGCTCCATTTCTGGCAGCAAAATTCTAGCTCTGCTTGACGCCTCTTCCCAGTGTTCCAAAGTGAAGAGCCCCTAAAGGCCTGAGCCAGCAAGGTGCTGAGCACCTCGGGCTCCTACTGGCTTCAGTATCAATGGCTTTGGTTCCCTGTATCCCCTTCCTTTTCCCTGTGAATTCATATTTATATCGTGCCAATGGGGTCCCTGGCACTTTGCACACCCACCACTCCCTTGAGACTTTATCAGTTTAACCCCAAGCCAGCGGTAGAACAGTTTGCAAGGGGCAAGGACCTAGCTGTCTCCTTCTGCCTCAACAGGTCTATTCCTTGGTGGTGATTCTTCCAAAAACTCCCCTGAAAGACCGGATTTCTCTGCCATGTAAGTGGACACACCAGGCTTCATGTGGCATAGCCAGTCAGTGCTGGGACAGAACCATGTATTGGGGGTGGGGGTTGGTTTGCATTTTCCTTAGGTATCCCCTGTAACCAAATCTACAGCAAATACACACGCCCCTACTCAACCAGTGACTGGGACATTGGGTATGTGGCAGGGGATTGAGTAGAGGTTCGCTGCTCAGTGGGCTCTCCATTTTCTGGGTGGTTTGGAGCTACTGTAGGTTTGGTGTAGCTGGTCAGTATTAGCCCTCCAGCTGCCAGCACTTTTTCATATTGGCAGACAAAAATGTCCTAGCACAATGGGATGTATGTAGGCATCCACAGTAAATGAGGGTTACTTTGGGGTTCTGTAAAGCACAAGTAGCTAATTCTTGAGTGGTGAAATCCCTGCACGGTGGCACGACTTGCATTTCAGTCTCTCCCTCCTGAGATGACAGAGGGTGAGAGGGCATGTTTGTGTCCTCGCTGTGACCATCAAAGCATTGAATGCAAACAATGGGGCTTTTCCATTATCGTGGGAGTGGGGAGAGGTGTAATGTGTTGTAAGGTGTGGTGAATACCATAAGGAAGAGCTTGGCTTCTGAAAGGTAAAGCCCCTTGTGTAGCACATGAGGTTACATCATCTTGGCATACAGCTGCTGTCTGGCCACTTGGGAAGGAAAAACTCTAAGCTTTCCAGACTGACTGCTTGGGAGTTGCTAATCAGTCTTGTCTGGTTTGGCAACTCTGCCATTTTTGTTAGTGTGATACATATGTAGCATCCTGAAATGGCTGCAGTATCTGAACTAGGGGATGGGTGTTCAGGTTATGGGAATACTTCTATTAGATTATTCATTCTTTAAATGAAAAAAAATTGTCAGGGTGATGCTCACCAAAGCAAGAGGACATGCTGGGCATGCTGCAGGCAGGTGCTGGGCATGCTGCAGGCAGGTGCTGGGCATGCTGCAGGCAGGTGCTGGGCATGCTGCAGGCAGGTGCTGGGCATGCTGCAGGCAGGTGCCGGGCAGGCTTCGCCAGGCCACAGCTCTGCCAATGCACCTTGCTCCTGATCTGCAGTATCCCCTGCTATTCCAGTCTTTGCCTCTTTCAGTTCTGCTGATACCCTCACACCTGATGCAGAGTGCCCCTTGTCTGTCCTCCATGCAGCTTTACTAATGCCTTCATTCCTGACTCACAGCACCTCTTCCGGTTCAATCACAGGCCGTTGTGTCCAAGATTGCCACCTGTGCTACCCATTTGTTTGCCTTGTGACCAACACCGGGTCAATGTACCCAGCTGTAACAGGCTTGCATGTGTTGCCTTGACACCACCCTTTTTAACTCCACCTTTTTCTTGATGATGCATGAGCCTGTGGTTTCATCCATTATACCCTATTAATCTCCTGGCACAAGATGTGGTCTGGGGAAGAAATATGGGACATGGACTTCCTGCATTCCAAGCATTCCACAGTGCTTTCTCTTTAAATGTTTGGCACACTTGCCCTCCACACGTGGGTTGTGTCGCTTCCATCAAGCAGTGTGTGTCTATCATGATCTAGTATTCAGTCAGTGCTGATGGAGTTAGATTTCATCCTTGTGTCCTTGTCTGTCTTACAGCTAGGAAGAGTTTTTATGTCTATGCTGGAATTCTCGCTTTGCTGAATCTGGTGCAGGGCTTGGGCAGCGCCCTTCTCTGTGTGGATATCATAGAAGGATTGTGGTATGTATGCAGGGGGCCCCAGCATCCTGCCTGCTACTGTAGATGGGTCCTTGGGTTGGCAGGAGGAAGAGACGTCTGTAGCCCAATTAAGACTTATTTAATGAGAGCCTTGCATCACCTTCTCCCCCTGCCCTAGGCACAGTCCTGGGATAATGAGCTTCCTGACTGTTCTTAAAAAGAAATAAAGCAGTTGGCATGAATTAAACAGTACTTCTGTTAAGATCTCACTGTAGGAGACACCAGGAAAAAACAGTGCAGGAAGCTACTGGGAATGAGGGGTTTGTGGATTTGTTCCTTAGTTCTCTCCACACGGGCCTCTTGTGCTACGGTGGGGCAGCACCTTGTTTCCATTGATGACTAGCCATTGGCTTCGTCTTGTCTGGGGTTTTCACAGTGGGCGAGACCATGTTCAGTAGATATTAATAGAAGACATGGAGACAGACAGTTTCCCCGAAGTAGAGTGGGGACACCGCTTGAGTTGTGCTTTGGAATTGGCAGGATCTGCTATGGGGTGCAATGCCCTGCTATTAAGGAGCTCCCCCAGAGTTTGAATTGTGATGTACTGGACTGAGACACTTGGGGCCTGCTGGTTCTGTCCTTGGGGGCCTGGGAGTGGTGAGGCTTTGGTGGCAGAACTCGTTCATTTGCACCAAGGCCATGTACTTGTTTCATAGAAGGTTCTTCCTGCTGTTCTCTCCCTCTCCCCCCCCCCCCCCGCCCCCGCCCCGTATGTCTTTGACACTCTGGATAGAATGGGGTGGCATGGTTGTGTTCATTAGACAGCAGACGCTAAATGGCTGCTTGTTTCCTCTTGCCTCCAAAGCTGTGTCGACGTCACCACATTCCTCTACTTCAGCTTCTTTGCACCTCTCATTTATGTGGCATTCCTGAAAGGCTTCTTTGGGTGAGTAGCCAAACCAACAGGGGGTTTTGATGTCAGTTGATCTTTGTGCCCAACTTGCCCCATTTGTAAAATAAAAGCAGTGGAAGGAGCAGTGGGTAAGGACTCAGGAGAACTGGGTTCTGTTCCTGGCTGTGGCAGTTGTTCCCTATGGGATCGTGGGTAAGTTACTTCCCCTCTCTGGGACTACGTTTCTCCATCTGTATAATGGGAATAATACTTAAACTACGCACAGGAATTTGTCAGGATTAAGCTGTTAATGTCTGCAAAGCACCAGTAAGAGCTAAATTGTTGGTCACTGAAATGAATAATCGATTGATTAGTGGGAGCCTGAGTCCCACAGCAGGATTAAGTCAGTATCTTGGCTCCTGGATTTTCTGATGGGTTTAGAGAAACGGTTTGTGGATTAGCTAGCACGGGGATTGGCAACCTTTGGCACGTGGCCCATCAGGGAAAGCCCCTGGTGGGCCGGGCCAGTTTGTTTACCTGCAGCATCCGCAGGTTTGGCTAATCGCAGCTCTCACTGGCCACGGTTTGTCATCCCAGGCCAATGGGGGCTGCAGGAAGGGTGGCCAGCACATCCCTCAGCCCGCGCCGCTTCATGCAGCCCTCGTTGGCCTGGAGCGGCAAACCGTGGCCAGTGGGAGCTGCGATCGGCCGAACCTGCGGACGCTGCAGAGAAACAAACCGGCCCGGCCCTCCAGGGGCTTTCCCTGATGGGCCATGTGCCAAAGGTTGCCAATCCCTGAGCTAGCATGATGGATCCCAAAACCAGAGGCTGGGAACTCCTTGCACATCCCTCTGCCCCTCACTAATGCTCTCTGAGTAACTGATTCTTGGGCTTGAGGTGCCACTGTGTGGCCAGACCAAGGAAGTGCAGTGTCTTCATCTTAACAATGTTTCAAGAACAGCACACAACAAAACACACAGGCATGTTTGTGTGAATCTTGCCAGTGGGGGAGGAAGCAGCAGGTTCTTAACCCCATTTAAGGGCTTGAAGTACTCTCAGAGCAAGTAAAACTGTCTCTGGGGCCTCATATGCAGTCTGGAGGGGGCTAAGTTTGGTTTGGAATCGGCTGTAGATGGAAACTGCTGGTTCTTCGTATAAAAATGCCTCCTTTCAGAGCATGTCTGAAATCCCCTTGAGGAGCCTTGAGGGGCAAGCCTGGCCTCATTTAAGTCCATGGCAAAACTCCCGTTGATTTCAGTGGCACCAGGATTTCACCAATGGTCTTTAGGAGCTAAATGTGCTGTGATGAGAGCATATTCCTCTACATGCCGCATTCCAGCCATGGCTGTTCAATTGTAGTTCTGCCGATGTACCTCATTGCTGAGCTGCAGAGCCCCCTGCTGTTTCGATCATGGAACTCTCCCGTTGGTAGCACCATGGGGTAGTGTGGTCTGGCTGACTGTCCTTTAGGACAGTGCAGGTTCCTTGTAGCTACTGGTGCGTCTCTTGTGATACTGCAGCACTTAACAAGGATCTTAATTCTTTTCCCTGACTCCAGGTCTGAGCCGAAGATCCTTTTCTCCTACAAATGCCAAGTGGATGAGCCTGAGGATGTAGATGTGCACCTCCCCAATGCCTATGCTGTGGCCAAGAAAGAGGGCGTGGATTCCAGCTTCTACTCCAGCACCCAGATCGACACCACAGCCTACCTGGATGATGTCGCCTCAATGCCCTACCACGTGGGCAGTGTCAACAGCATTGACAGTGACCGCTGGAAAGCCATCAATGCCTAAATCAACCCAGACCCCCAACACGATGCCACCCTCCCTGATCACACAGCTGCTAGGATGTGCATCACAGATGGTCCTCAGTCACTTGATGTGGCTTTTCCCTCTTCCCCTGGGCTTTAAAAAACCCATTGTGGAACAAAATGGCTCCAGCCCTCCCAGAAGGACCTTTTGTATCTTCATGTGATAACAGCCTAGACCAGCTTTGTTCATAAATATCTAAATGCTGAACCTTCCTGATCCTTGGTGTTCCAGATGCAGTTGTGACCCAGAAGATGGGCCTGGCTGGCACCCGTTCCTTTTCAGTGACTGAAAACACTTGTGTAACTGGGAGGGGAGTGGGATTTTGGGGTGGGCGAGTTGAGATTGGCTTCTCCAGGGTGCATATGTGCGAAGCATTCAGCACACGGAGCCAAAGGCACTTTCATGGGCTGTCTCAACAGGTCCCATTTCCCAAGTCATATTGCATTGTATTGTAGGAAGAGCACTGTATGGAGAGAGGAAGCCTGGGAGAGCAGGGCTACTCCTCAATTCCAGCAGATACTGATGGAAATCATGAACTGTAGTAAAATGAGAATTACAAAGAGTGTTTTGGGCGTGTATGGGAGAAGGCTCACTGATGAGCGAACTGTTAAATATGTCCTGTGACCATTACAGGGGCACTGTCTGGGATCTGGCAGATCAGCTATATCCTGGGTCAAGGAAAGAGACTTTTAAAGAGCCAGCATTGCTGTCTGTTGGAGAGACCGTGGCTATGGAAGGGTCTCTGAAGACCATGCTTATGCCCAACTGAACTCATACTGTGAACTTGCGGTGTCAAGCGGCTATGTATTTTACACTGAATTAGGGTTGAATTTTAAGAATAAAATTGGCCCAGTGTGAGTTTTTCAGATCTGCACTCTGCTTTACAATCCTGGCTGAATTCCAGAGCTCTAAGAGGGCTGTAGAGGAGGAAGCTTTTTGGCTCTGAAGATGAAGGCTCCAGAGGAGTTGAGCTGGTTGAGGCAGAGCAGAAGCCCCAGATGAGTCCTGGCTGCCAATGACCAATAACTGGTGAACTCTGGGAAGCCACCAGAGTGCTAGGATCAAGGTGACTAGTATTTTAGGTTGGGAGGTAGATGGGATGCAGTCAGACAGACAAACTGCTACTACTTCTGTGGCAGCTTCCCTCTCCTGACCTGTGGTGCATTACAGCTTGCAGCCTAGCACAGTCACACTGGCCTGAACAGATTTTATAGCTGGATGTATTGAAAATATTTCCTTGCACTTAGAACGTGGTTCTTTTAAAGACTATCCAGGACCTGCCATTAACCTTCTCACAGTGAAAGAACAACTTGCATCTCTCCAATCTGGCATGGCTTTCCTGGACCTCATCATGGTCCAAACATGTGGCTGTTCCACTGAAAGCTGCAGCAGCCAGTCTTGTGGCACCTCTGTGGTTGGTTTGTATTCACTGTTGGCAAACAGGTTTATGCCTGTAGTACTGAGGGGGTGCGATTCCAACTGGGAGCTCTGGGGAGGTGGAGGCTCTGACATAAGAGATGGCTGCATTCCATTAGAGATGGCAGGGTGAGAATGTATAAACATTTGAGGATTTTGTGTGTCTCTCTCCTATAACTGCTTCTTGTGCCTGGCAGCCAAAGAAAGTGAAGGAGGTGAAGATTTTAGGAAATGCTCATCCTGTGGTGTGGTGGTGGTTTGAATTGTGAGTAGGAGGGGGGCAAAGGTGTAGTACAGCCAGCTTCCAGAAGTCTCCAATGTGGGGTAGGGGAAACACCAGGAGTGAGAACTGGAAGCTAGTGCAGGTCTTTGAAGCCATGTAGACACCTGGTTTCTCTCTCGTTAATGAGCAGCGCAGCCTCTCTATGGCCAGGAAGTTCTGCTGCCTTTGGATTCTGCCCTGCTGATCTGCAGGCAGTGCTGTGACATAAAGGAAAAGATCCTTTGGTTTATTTTTAAAAATTTTATCTACTTTTTAAAGAAAAACTTTTCTGATTGCTCCTGTTGAACTGTTCATGTAGCTCCTCAAAGCCTTTTAAATCCGCACTGCCTGCAATGACACAAACAGGAGGAGGCTGAGACTGGTCTTCCTTTCTGTCAAGCTACTTGGCCAGGTCAGCCTTTTCCACACTAGGGAAATGTTGCAATTTCCTGCATTGCAGACACCAGTGCAGCTCCACTGGTGTTAGCAATGTGGGGATCCTAGAAGAGGGTGCTTGAAACACTGCATCTGTGGGTAGGGTTAGATGGCATGCTCCCTGAAATCCTGGAAGCACTAGGCCACCAAGATGGGTGACACCACTGAAGTTGGACCAGCGTAGCAACAGCAGGAGAACTCTTGCAAAAAAATTCCCTAGGGCAAGCAGGGCTTTGCAGATTGGTTAAAGAGTGTTAGTCTTGTTTCTATAGACCTATCCCACCCCAAGGAGTAAATGTTGAGACTCCTCAAGACCCTGAAAATGAGGACTTTCTTGTTCCCTGGGTGATGTGAAGAACAGACTATAAATACAACCTATTATCTGCTAAATCAAATGCCGAAGAATCAGCTGGGCATATGTTCAGTGTGTCCATCAGTTCCCCTTCTCCAAGATTCAGTGTTCCCCAATATCATCTCTGAATGTCCCACATTGTCTTCTGCTGAGGAGCTTCTGCACTAGGTCTAGGACTGATCTTCCTTCTGTTGTCTTTTTATGTCTGTAACGTCTCTGAGGCCAGCACATGATATGGTCCATGAGCAGAAGTGTGTGTATGTTTTGGGGGGAACTGGGGGAGATTAAAAATAGAGTAATGTATATTTTTGTTTTTAAAATAAATAAAATGACGTTTGGCATAAACAATAACAATTTCTCTCTGAAATCACCCAGGCTGTGTAAATGCTCTTCAGAATCTTTTAAAAAATATATCTGCCATAGTATATGTAACATCCCCTTTTCAAAGGGAAAGGCTGTGATTTTTGTACATAGACTTTTATCCTAGCAATAACCATCTAACAGTATGGAGCTGAAGTGACAGTGATCCCCAATTCCAAGTAATTAAGTCAATTAAGACTTCAGCTATCCTGCTCTTCTTCCTCCTGGTGCGGAAGAGTGGGCTACCTGGAACTTCTTTTGTGCTGCACACACTCCATAGTCCTGTCGCAGACTTGATGCAGCCTTCAGAGCTGGTGAACACTGATCCTGAGCTGGCCAGAGAGGTTACTCCAGAATAGTGCCACTTGCTACCAGATATCCACAAGGCCATTGCCACCTTTGACCGCAACCCCACCTTCCCGAGCACTCCTCCAAAACGAGCTGCCTCCCCAACGTTGGCTATGCTTATACCATTTCCTCTAATGAAACCATCATTTAGTTTTCATCTCATCCTGGCTTGACTCTAACAGCTCCCTTATCTATGTCCCAGCCATCCAGACTCTAGCTTCTGCAGAATGCTGCTGCGGCCGCTTCCTATGAAAAAGCAGCTTGATCGTATGCTCACTGTTCGCAGATAGCCTTATTCGAAAGACATGAATTTTAAGATCCATTTAGAAAAATACTCTTTTAAAAATAACCCCCCCTTCGCCTTTCTGTAGCTGATTTCATGGACCCTTGTGCTCTCTGTTCTCTCCACCTCTTCTGGGCTGGGATGCTGCCCTATGCTCACATTTGGTGAGGTCTGGCTGCCTTGATGGGCTCCTTGGACTTGTTGGCTCCTCCCTGGAGGGAACCTGGGTTATCTGTGCAGTTGCTGCTTCTGTGTTGCTGGTACTGCTACTCCTGTTCTGTCAGCTGTCCCCTGCCAGGCAGACAGACAGGCTGTTAATGCTATGTTGCCTAGCAACCATCACCGATGGGGGTAGTGCATTGGCCTGCCTCCCACAGGTCAAAGGCAGCATCTGGAAGTACACATTAGGCTGGCAACAAAAGGAGAGGCGGGGGAGTGAACCTGCAGCTTGTTGGACATTCATCTCTCTTGTGTTTGTGGGCAATGTCTGGTCGCAGGCCCTGGACTCAGTAGGGGACTCAAGGGCTTCAGTGGTGGTTTGAACTGAGGGATGATTGGGGCAGAGGCTTGGGATGTCTGTGGCTCAGGGTGCAAGAGCAGCTGTTTAGGGGCGGGGGTGGCAGGAGCAGTGGTTCAGAATGGCGGGCTGTACCTTGGGGAGGGGGTCTGCAGGGCTGGCGGTTTATAGTGAAGGGCCAGTGGCTCTGGGTGTCAGGCTGTGGTTTGGGATGAGCAGTTGCAGGGGTCAATGTGGTTCAGGGCATCTTCTGTCTTTTGGCTTTTACGTCCAACTGCATTTGTATTTGGTGCCCTTAATAGGGCAGTTGCATAGATCAGATGGCTACTGAATGCTAATGCTAAGCAGCATGGGTGGCACAGGAGGAAAACCAAAATAGTGGCCAGGCATTAAAAAGTACCTGGTGCTAGAGCTAAGGGCTCCCTGCTTTTACCATGGGACTGGATCAGATCCTCCTGCAGTAAAACCTGCTGGTGCGGGGCGGGTCTTAGAAGGTAGAAATCTTTGTAAACATCTGTTCACCAAGTTCCTCCCAGACTTTTCCATTGGGAGATGGCAGGGATTGCTCCACACATGGAATAGGCTGCTAGATCCACCCCCAAAATTTCTGAGGATCTCCTAGGGGAGATCCCAGGTGGCTGTTTGTGTGAAGGGTGTTCTAAATGTTTTGTTTTCTTTCCGTACATAGACACCCCTGTAATGCAAGTAGTGTACCAATCTTTGTATTGTGTTGTAGAACCCAGGAGCCCCAATCATGGACCAGGACAAAAGATGGGCCCTGCCTCAAAGAGCTAACGATCTAATGGCCCTAGATTTCTGCAATTGGATCCACACAGAGGGACCTTTGTGTTTGGCCAGAGCCTCATTGTTGGACTGAGGCTGCGGTTTTCATATTTATTAAATTAATAATACTAAGCTTTACCTGAACACCTCTATCCCAAATGTATAACTACTAAAGAGGCAAGCAACATATTAAGAGTTTTTACTTTATATCTGTAAGTGATTAACTGACTTCTGAAAATGAGGAAAGTCAAATAATAGAGAGGTTAGGTTGTGTGGGATGCTTAAAAACTGAAATAGGGAAGAGCCTCTTTGAAAATAACATGTCTGCTAGTCAACACTGATCAATCTGCTTGTATGTTGCATACCTTTTCCACATCCTTGATCTGCCTTTTCTGTTTGGATATTAAGCCCTTTGAGCCAGGGAGCATCTCTTACTATGGATTTGTACAGTATCTAGTGCAAGGGGGTGTTCTGCTCCTTGTTGGGTGTCACGGTCATACACATAATAAATAGCAATAATTCATAAAAGCTTTGCTGAACCGAAGTAGGTGATAGGTAAGGAAAGGTTATCTTGAACAACAAAGCATTATCTAAAATTGGTGATAAAAACAAGCACAAACTGCTGTCAAAGGAATTGCACGAATTGAATTTAAGATTAAATTGAATGGTGAACTGCCCTCCAAGGATACATGTTGGTATAATGATGGACTAGGAATTCCTTGAAATGGAAAGAAATGCCTATACTCGGAACAGTGGAAACTGGATTGAATGATCAAATTGATGGGAGCGTGATAGCTGACCGCTCCCTTTCGGGACATTTTAGAGGGAAAAGAACATGAACATCCTGAGCATGTTTCAGGATCTTACCATCCCCAGGGTTACCCTGGTGAACTTATATGCAAGAAATAACATCGTCATTAGTGGACTTCGGAGGCATTTCTTGTTATATTCAGGCAACAGTGCGGCTGTTATGCTATCACAATTAAATCAGCTGAATCCAAAGCAATCTCTAGGAACTAAGATATGAGCATCCTGCTCTCCATTCCCTGCCCCCTGCTCCCCCCCCCCCCCCGGTGATATTTTGTTTTCTTTCTTTTCTGTTTGGCTTTTGCCTAAAGAAACTCGATCGATTTTAGTTTATCAAAGTGAAGATTTACGAGGTGACTTTGACTTGACCACTGTCTATAAATACCCTACATAGGGAAAAGACTTCAATCTAGAAGAAAAAAGCATAACCAGATCCAATGGCTGGAAGCTGAAGTTAGATAAATTCATACTAGAAATAAGGTGCAAATTTTTACCAGTGGAACAATTTTGCCTAGGGAGGTGGTGGATTCTCCATTACAGGAAGTCTTTAAGATTAGCTAGCTTTTTAAATGAGATGCTCTAGCCCAGGGGTCGGTAACCTTTCAGAAGTGGTGGGCCGAGTCTTCATTTATTCACTCTAATTTAAGGTTCCGCGTGCCAGTAACACATTTTAATGTTTTTAGAAGGTCTCTTTCTATAAGTCTATAATATATAACTAAACTATTGTATATAAAGTAAACAAGGTTTTTAAAATGTTTAAGAAGCTTCATTTAAAATTAAATTAAAATGCAGAGTCCCCGGGACCGGTGGCCAGGACCCAGGCAGTGAGAGTGCCACTGAAAATCAGCTTGCGTGCCACCTTTGTCACGCATGCAATAGGTTGCCTACCGCTGCTCTAGCACAACCAGAAGTGATAGTATTGATGCAGGAATCACTTGGTGAAATTCTCTGGCCTGTGTTATGCAGGAGGTCAGAATCAATGATCATAATGGTCACATCTGGTCTTAAAATAGATTAATCAATTCCAAGATTAACCATCTTTGAAATTAACTGAACTCCACATTACCATCCCTATAACAAGCCAGGACAGGCTAAGACTTGAACCAGATTTGCACCAGCATGAAGGAAGACCAGTGAGAAGAAACCAGAGCAGACCAGCCAGATGTCATCCCAGACTGGGGAAGCGAATGGGGTGAAGAGGATAAAATGCACCAGTTTGTGACTGACCTGTGTACCATATCCTGCCTACGGCATGTGAATTAAACAGGCATCAGTGAGAGAAGTTTTCTTTCTTTCCTCTCCTTTCTCTTCTCTTTTGTGCATTTGCCTAAAGAGCAGGACTGATCATAACAAGAATAACACAGCAGCAGACTGAAACATTCTTTTCTCCAACAAAGTCTTCTGGTACCAGCAAGAAACTTTTGAAATCAACATTTTCCCTCTGAAAGACTCTGAATGTGAATGAAATATGAAGGGGAACTTTCCTATAATGAATAACCATTTGACTTTGAATTCCAAAAATTTTAATGTTTCTCTTTTGCTTGTCCATGATTTTTTTTGTAACAAATGTTTGGAAGGATTGTCCTAGTGTGGTCATTATGGGAAAAGCATCCCTTTTACACAAGAACCTGAATCCACAATTAACAGTTTCATGTTTAAATAGGAAAACATGGGTTCTAGTATCACCTTAGCATCTTGGAGCCTAATACCCCTCTATCACAACATAACACAATGATGATTTGTTGGTTCATATATTTAATCTCATTAGTGGTGCAATAATTAAATAGGCATATCTTGCCAACTGCATATCACATTTTATTGTGCTAACTGCTAATTAACTGTATTCACTGAACAAAATGCACTAAATTAAAGAAATTAAGAGATTCCAAGTTCCACCATTGTAGCACCAAGCCTTTCTCTTGGATCAAATCCAAATTGCCTTCTGTAAAACCTTTTCATATGTCTCCAACACATAAAACTAATCATTGTCTTGCAAAATTATTATTTTAGTAATCTTGTAGAAAGCCTTGGGTAGCTAGATCCTAGAGTGACCTGTACCCTTAGGATCACTGGATAGATCAAATAGTGGGAGATTTTCTTCTGTTTGCTGCTAGGTAATAGGATTGAATCTTGCCGGCTGTTCTTGTATGCCAGATGCAAATTTCTGAAAAAATAAAATTCTTTTGGCAGGGTGCAAGGCAGCCATTTTCCAGGCTTTTTGTAATGAAATCCATCTATTGGGGTAATGATGTA